AAGTCACTGATTTGAATGCTCCAGTTTCGTTTTTTTTCCTGTTGAAGTCCACACATCTTCCAGCTGCCAAGGTTGAGAAGCACTGATACATAGGTTCACGGACTTCAACAGGAAAAAAAACGAAACTGGAGCATTCAAATCAGTGACTTGCTTTAGGGAGCGCACTGCTTTCTCCATTGCACTGTCCTCTTTCCTGCCAGGGGCTCAATGTGTGGGGGCCGCTGGTGTCATGCCGTCCGAGAAGCTTCCCCATCCCTCGCTGGCTGGGTTGGCGAGCAGAACGGCCCGGCGTTCAAACAGCTGGAGAGCAAGCTGCTTTTTCCAAGATCAGAAGCTCCTGTCTGCTGGCTCCCGATCCCAATTTTTCCCAGACGGGGACTCCGTTTCAAAATACGTGGGCGGTATTTTCGCAAGATGGAAGGAAGCCAACCTAAAGAGTTGCCAGCCAACTTGAAACAACGGGACGTCTCTGGGGACCGTGCCTGTTTAGGTTAGGTTTTGTCCCCCCCCCTGCACACACGCGCCCCCTCCCCGGCCTTGGCTTGGAGTCAGCACGACATTCCGAAGGTCAGAGAGCAATTGTTTCATAGCGATCCAATAATCCTGTTTCCAAAAGGCGCCTAATCAGCCAGCGATGCAAAATGTCTTCGAGGGAATCCGCTAAATTACAGCCAAAGCCGTTTTAACGCCATTCCCTCAGCTCGGCTCCTCTTAAGTTTATTACTAGATTAAGGGCGGTTTTGGCAGACTCACAGCCAGGGGAGGAGGGGGGAAGAGAGAGGAGCAACTTGAACAAAATTTGGAGATGCAAATCCATCTTGGCATTTCGTCGCATTCCTCCAGTCCAACCGGCTGGCCTTTCCCCTTCTCGGGCAGGTCTGGGCCTGGACGGGTCCCTGCTGTTTTTTAGGCCACATTTTTCGGAAGGGGTTTGCCCTCGCCTGCTTCTTCCTAGGGCTGCCAGAGAGGGACTGGCCCAAAGTCACCCAGCTGGCTTTGCACCTAGGACAGGACTACAATTCACGGCCTCTTGGCCTCTCGCCCGGCGCCTTTAGCCGCTCCACCAAACTGACGCTCAGAGTTATTGCCAGCCACGGTGATACTCTCAGGAGCGACACGTCTGCCACCGACGTCTAAGTGGAAGAGTTGTGGCAAGAGCCTTCCGACAATTGAAACCCCCTTGTTGATAGAGTGTGCGGTCCTTGTTCAAGAATCTCCTGCAGCAGCCAGATCTTAGCTCTGTTTTCTCCCAAGGAGAGAGACGTTCAGGGGCCGGGTTCACACATGCTAAGGAAAGGGGTAGGTTTCCCACTCAGTGAACCCCCAACTACCCAATTCATTTTGGCAAAGTCTCGGTTCTTATGCAAGCCAGCCATTTAATTTGCATAAGTTCCACTGCTCTGCAACCTGGGAGTGGGGAGGCCCAGGTTCTAGTCCCCCTCAGCCCCAGAAGCTCATTGGCTGATTTTGGGCTAGTCCCTCCTCTCAGCCCAAGAGCCAATCAGGTGTAATGGGAAAGGGGCTGGACTAGGAAGCAGGAGACCCGGTTTCTAGTCCCCCCTCAGCCCCAGAAGCTCATTGGCTGATTTTGGGCTAGTCCCTCCTCTCAGCCCAAGAGCCAATCAGGTGTAATGGGAAAGGGGCTGGACTAGGAAGCAGGAGACCCGGTTTCTAGTCCCCCCTCAGCCCCAGAAGCTCATTGGCCGACTGTGGGGCAGTCCCACCTTCTCAGGCCAAGAGCCAATCAGGTGGGGAGACCCAAGTTCTAATCCCCCTCAGCCCCAGACATTCATTGGTTGATTTTGGGCTAGTCCCTCCTCTCAGCCCAAGAGCCAATCGGGGGGGAGACCGCCAATCAGGTGTAGGGGGGAAGGGGCGGCACTAGGAGGCGGGGGGCCCGGGTTCTAGTCCCCCCTCAGCCCCAGAAGCTCATTGGCCAACTATGGGGCAGTCCCACCTTCTCAGCCCAAGAGCCAATCGGGGGGGAGACCGCCAATCAGGTGTAGGGGGGAAGGGGCGGCACTAGGAGGCGGGGGGCCCGGGTTCTAGTCCCCCCTCAGCCCCAGAAGCTCATTGGCCAACTATGGGGCAGTCCCACCTTCTCAGCCCAAGAGCCAATCGGGGGGGAGACCCAAGTTCTAATCCCCCTCAGCCCCAGACGTTCATTGGTTGATTTGGGGCTAGTCCCTCCTCTCAGCCCAAGAGCCAATCAGGTGTAATGGGAAAGGGGCTGGACTAGGAGGTGGGAGACCCGGGTTCTAGTCCCCCCTCAGCCCCAGAAGCTCATTGGCCAACTATGGGGCAGTCCCACCTTCTCAGCCCAAGAGCCAATCGGGGGGGAGACCCAAGTTCTAATCCCCCTCAGCCCCAGACATTCATTGGTTGATTTTGGGCTAGTCCCTCCTCTCAGCCCAAGAGCCAATCAGGTGTAATGGGAAAGGGGCTGGACTAGGAGGTGGGAGACCCGGGTTCTAGTCCCCCCTCAGCCCCAGAAGCTCATTGGCCAACTATGGGGCAGTCCCACCTTCTCAGCCCAAGAGCCAATCGGGGGGGAGACCCAAGTTCTAATCCCCCTCAGCCCCAGACATTCATTGGTTGATTTTGGGCTAGTCCCTCCTCTCAGCCCAAGAGCCAATCAGGTGTAGTGGGGAAGGGGCTGGATTAGGAGGCGGGAGACCCGGGTTCTAGTCCCACCTCAGCCCCAGAAGCTCCTGGGGGACTCTGGGCCAATTCCTCCATCTTAGCCAACCCGCCTCCCAGGGTTGTTACTGTGAGGAAGAAGAGAAGAAGTCTCTTCTCTTGTCCCCTTCAGCTCCTGAGTGAACAGCGAGACAGAAATCTAATAAGTAAACAAACAAACAAACAAGGAGCTGCAACAGGAAAAGAAAACACGGATACTTGTCCCAGCCCTTGTGCAAAGCCACTACAAACACATCATGCTTTCTGGGGGAGGGGGAAAAAAACCCCTCAACATAACAACCCGGGGGTTACTTTCTTAAAAAAAAGTCCTTGTTTTGTTTTAAAGCCAATTAAAATCACACAGACATACAAACACGCACACGGAGAGAAATGAAAAACGAACAAAAAAAAAGGCAATCTCTTTCCTGATTCTGTCATTTCTGACTATTTGCACACTCCCTGGGAAGAACTGTGACCAAACATTAATTGCATGTTAACAGGAGAAAATTATTAATTTGTGTTTTCTTTTTTCCCCAAACAGCTGCATGACTTGATTCTTTTAAAAATACCACCTGTTCAGAAAAAGCAGAAGGTTGTTGCTGTTTGTTACAATTTAAATAAAATAATTGGCTTTCTTTCCCCCCTTGATCCCAACAATGAAGTCAGCAGGTATTCCATCTGCCCTGAGTTCATCTACATTTCTTTTCTTTTCATAGATTTCTTGTCTTCCCCCCAACCTAGAATCGAACATAATTTGGTGGAAATCTGCATGCCGCTTGGGCCCAAACCAATGCTTAGCGTTTCAGCCTTTGCCAAGAGAACAAAAGGTTAAAGTTGTTGGAAAGGTCACCGGAGTTTGTGTGTGTGCACGCATGTGTGTCAAAAGGCCTTCACTAATTCGTTCTCAAGGGCAAAATGTGAAAGGAAGGGCAAGGGTCCATTCTGCTTGAAAATATGTTTTGTGTTGTTGGTAATCAGGACTGAGTATTGGGACGGGGACACCATCTTGACTTTTTTGACCCCCACCCCACCCTGTAGACCAGTGTTTCTCAACCTCAGGAACTTGAAGATGTGTGGACTTCAGCTCCCAGAAATCCCCAGTCAGCCATGCTGAGTGGGGCATTCTGGGAGTTCTAGTCCACACTGACATCTGTGGCAGACACAATATCTACCGTTCAAGCCGCATGTTGTGGAACCTCTGACTTTGTCTGGGTTTTGAAAGTGTGCATTTCTTGGATATCTGAAGGTCTGTGTGTGTGTGTCTGTGTGTGCACACGCATTTCTTTAAAGCAGCTATTTCTCTTTCATGTAGAAGCCCGCTTTCTCAAAGGAGAACCTCGGGCCAAATTCAGTGGGCAGGGGGAGGGCAGAATTGCCAAGAAAACATCCTTTTCTCTTTTACACAGTCAGGAAGTGATCCTCATCATTTTTTTCCTCCAATTTTCAATGTCAAAGAGAAGTCCTCTTCTAGAGCATTCCAGGGGGAACAATTACAGCCAGCAGCCAGATAAGACATCAGTGTCCCATGGACCCAATATTTGTGGCATTACAACAAGACAAGGGTCTCTCTGCAAACTTACGGAGGGCCTAGAACAGTGTTCCTCAACCATGGGAACCTGAAGATGTGTGGACTTCAACTCCCAGAATTCCCCAGCCAGCCATGCTGGCTGG